ACCGTTGCCGCTGCTGCACGCCGCGTGCAACGAGCTGCGTGCGAGAAAATAAAAACGGGTCGTTAATAAACAGGCATTATTGGATCGATCCGATGGTATCGGATACGAGTAACGTTTTTTCTTTCAACATTTAACTGTTAAATACCGTCTGAGCTACGAGTAATGCTTTCTTTTTCAACATTTAAAAGCTCTTCCGTTAAATATTATCCGAGCTATTCGCGTCGGGACGCGATGACTTTTCGGAGCAAGGTGGCTTAAGGGAGAGAGAGAGATTACCGTCGCGTGGCTTCTTTTCTTTTTTTAAAATCAATCTCAAGGAGAAAACAGATCGAGAGGGGAGTCTCCCGACGCGATTTACTGCGCTCCGTTTAAAGCTCGCTCGGACTGGACGGCGTTATCGGGCTTATCTGGAGGGTGTCGTGGACGTCGCGGACACGACCGGTGTGTGCCTACGACGTGTGTCACGTGACGTACACGCGTGACGTAACGCAGTCGCGCGGGAAGCCTTTTCATCCCCCTCTCCGTCTCCCACCCCCCCCTCCCCCCGCGGCCACCCACTCTCGCGCCGCTCTTGCAACAGCGCATCGGACGGAGCGCGGCGCGCCTGCGCGACGCGCGTGGCTCCTTTTTTTTTTCCCCCTGCAGCGGCAGAACGACGGCACGTATCCCGAGCCCGCGGTCTCGCCGGAGCCGGAGGATACGCGCCGAGACAGCTGCACTCGCGAAAATGTAGATCGAACGCCCGGGAACTCTCGGGGGGGCCCTTTTACTTGTAAGTACGCGCGCGTCGCGTACCGATTTCTCAATTACTCCAGAAACGCGGCCCGAACGCCGCGAACCTGTTTCCGAGCGGACCCGCGCGCTCTCCCTGCTCCACCTCCTCTCTCCATCTCGGGACGGTTGAATTTTTGCGCGATTTCGGTCGCGGTCGCGGTCGCCGCGCTACAAAATGCCCTCCTATCCCTTTCCGAAAGAAAGGAGAGGAATACCTCGAAACGTTTTCACGCGACGGCTCGAGCGCAGCCTACATTTCACGAGTTCGTTTAAACGAATCGTCAACCGGAGGCCACGCGCTACGTGCGCGAAGCACGATAGCGCGGCCGATTGGAAATCGACAATTCGCAGGAGCGTGCAAACGCAGTGGCGCTCTCGCGGATCGCCTCGTTTCCCCCGGCGCGGCCGCTCGAACGTGCGTGGTGAAAGAAAAAAAAAAAAGAAAGGGGAGACGAGCGGCGTCTCGTTACGTGGTGTTCGCGTGCGCGAAAACGGCCGCGAGAATGCCGCGCGTTGTTACGTCGTTGTGTCGGCGCGAAGAAATCCGCGCAGGCCTCGTCGCAAAAAAAAACAGATAAAAAAAGACCGCGAGAAAGAATATTTGATCCCTCGCGAAACGGTACCGCGGCAATAACGGGAGGCGAGACTTCACCGCGCGAGGGTATCGAATGAAAACGCGAGAGGCGACGGACGCGCGTTCCAGGTCGTTTCCGAAAACGAACGTCAAGGGTCCAAGGTATACGAAGAAAAGAAAAAAAGAGAAAGAACCGCGAGAAGGGAGGGTCGAAGAGAGGAGAGGCTAGATCGCGAGGGCAGAATTTTATCTTTCGGACCCGACGTGCCAATTTGAAAGCCAGAGGTACACGCACCGGCATAAATGCTGTCCCTTATCCTTGTGAGGTGCACGCACACAACTAGAGTCCCTGTAGTTGTGTGCGTGCACCTCACAAGGATAGGGACAGCATTTATGCCGGTGCGTGGTACACACGTCGGCGGGCGGAATCGCGAAAGCGGCCCGACGTCGGCGACGCGCGCGGTCGCGCTCGCATTCTCCGCGGGAGACGCGAAAATAGTGGAGGAGGGAGTGGACGCGCGGAATGGAACGGAGCGGAGCGGAGCGGAGCGAGGCGAAGCAGCGCGGCGCGACGGAACGACTCGCGACGAGTAGCGGCCAGCAGCGACGGGGATGCCCCCGTTGCCGTTGTTGCCGGCGGTAACGGCGGTGGCGAGCCAGGCGTGCGCGAAAGGTTATAAAACGGCGGCGCACGTGAAAACTTGGCAGGGAGAGCGCGCGACCGCGGGCGGCGAGCCCGAAAAATTGACGGGGCGACACGTTAGAACGGGCCGACGACGCACGCAGGCCGCGGGCCAATCGCGGCGCCCGCGAGCCGCGACGTCACGCGGCTGGCCGTCGCGCCATTGGCCAGCTCTATTATGGCACGGAAAACACGCCACGCAACCATCTCTATACACATGTTAATTAAATAGGCGCTAGTAACGGAGATAATGGTTCGCCGAGGCTCGCCCGCGCTCGCGCTGTCACTCCCTCGCTCGGTCATTTTCTCTCTCCCCCCCCTCTCGCTCCCTCTCTCGCTCTCTCTCTCTCTCTCTCTCTCAAGCCGTGTCTCTTTCTTTCGCGCGCCCGCTTTCTCCCTCCCCGTCCCCCTATTGCTCTTTCTCTCGAACGGGCGTGGTGGTTCGAGCGAGAGAGAAAGATGCAGCCCGGCGATAAATAGAGATAGAAAGAAGAGACGGGAAGGGCCGCGCGCCTCCACCAAAAACTTACAGACTTGGACACGTTGCGACGTCCGAGCGCACGTTCCGCGTGCGTACAGCACGCTGGGCCCAGGCACGACACCAGAGAGAAACGGTGGTCGGTGAATCGTGTCGCCGCTCGTTGTCCAGCACCCCCCCGCTCTAACTCACACTCCCCTGTCGAAAAACGATCGGCGATCCTGTCACGCGCGTGGTCTCGCGAAATCGCGAGATCGCACTAGAAGCGCGGCCGACGACGGGTCGTCGGCGCGAGAGTAAATGCCCCGGTGAGTCGTCCGCAGGCGCGACGGCCACGCGACGGAGCCGAGCGTTTCGGAGCGCGCGGCGAAACGCGGGTTATAACCTGATCGATCTGGCGCGTGGCGGTGGCATTTTACAAGTGCTGAAAACCACTGCGCATCAAACTGCCATGCTTGCTCGGCCACGATTCACGTGTCCGGGCACCGTGGCGCTGGCCAATCGTCGCGCGGCTCGTGACGTCACCCGGCTGTATCGACGAATGAGCGCAGCCCATGTGACGCAGCAGACCCGCTGGGCGTGTGAGAAGAGTAATCGCGGAACGACCTGCCTCGGCGAGTCGCTCGCTCGCGCCGTCGACCGCTCGTCGCCGTCGCCGTCGCCGTCGCCGTCGCGGCACGTTTCCGGCCTGCTCGCCCCCCTCGGAAACCCACGCGCACTCCGCTGTTAACGGCCGACCGTTCCGTCGCGCATCGCGTCTATTCCCGCCGTGAACGCGACCCGACGCGCCGCACCGCGCGGAACGCTCTTCCCTTCCCGCACGTCGCGCGACGTCGGAGGCGTACGAGCGTCCGGACACGTACGCGAGACGACAACGCGCCGAGCACACCCGACACCCGGCTCGCCCGGGCAAACACTCGCGCTCCGATCGCGGCGACAGCGGCGTCACCCTCCGCCACCTTTTATTACGTTCCTTCTCTGTCACATGGATCAACGCCGCGCGAGCGCGAGCGCGCGCGCTGTTGCCGCTTCTACTCCGTCCTGCTCTCCGTCCGCCGCCGCCGCCGCCGCCGCGCCGGACGGGGCTACGCTCTATTGTTTACTTTCGCCAGTGCGCGCGCGCATCACGCGCCCACGAGGTCGCGAGAGGTAGGAAGGACCGCCGCTGCCAGAGACTGGCGGAGACTCCGCGAGGCCGCGAGGTGAGGCGCGAGGTGACTGCTGCTGCGACCGCTCGAGACCGGAGACGTGGTCGTGTAAATCTCTTTTCCTTTTCTCCCCCACTTGTTTCGACACACGCGGACGCTTATTAATTGATGGCCTGGGAGCTCGCTCAGTTTGAAAAAGATCGACAATTGATTCGAGCCACAAGTCTGAGGGGAATGTAGGGGGAAACGTACGTTTGCTCTTTGTCGCTCAACAACCCTAGCGGAAAAAATTTCTATAAATACCTACAAAAAATTTATTTGAAATTTTTATATCTTCGTGAAAACGTCTATTTTCTTTTTGGTAAAAATATCTACGAAATAGTACCACAATTTACAACGTTCTCAAGTCAAGAAATTATTGCAAGCGGTATTTCGTGAAAGTGTACATATTTGTAAAAATTAGTACGAGACTTTAATAGTTTTGAAAATTTGAGAAACAACAAAATCTTAAAGAATTAAAACGTCTGCTTGCTTGTAGAATATTACAAAAATTAGCAGATTTTACGTTGATTTTTATAACACTTTAAATTTACGTAGAATTACTCGGATACTGGCAGTTGTATTTAATTGTTTTTTTTTTGTAGAATTTTGTAGAATTATTTCCGGCAGGCAACTTTTCGTTGCTCCTTTTACGTTTTATTACAAAGGAAAGTACCCTATTATGCAATAGGCTCCTAATATGAGATAGCGGGATTCGAGTTGATTCCACCATAAATTTGTTGACCTTGGGGCAAAATCTGTTTAGTAGAAAATTCACTGTTAGATCGTGTAGTCGTTGCGAAAAAGATTTGCGATTGAATTCGGGCGTTGGGAACTTGCCATCTCGTATCCGAGGGGGGAAACAGTTGATCAAAATCTTGTACACCAATGCCCACTAATGCCCAATGGGCATTACTTTATCTTATTTTATCTTTATAATGCAAGACCTAACGCCCCAAAAATGCCCAGTAATGCCGCAAATCCGTACGCCACAATGCCCTCAGCGGTTTCTCCCCCTCGCTCATACCAGAGGACTTTTCTCCATGTATGCATTACCTATTTCCCTGTAAGTGCACTAAAAGTGCGAGATCTACGAAGAACAGACTTCGCAATCGAAGGGTTACGGACGAACAGAAATGACAGAAGTAGCGCACGTTAAAATAAGTTCTCGTAAAACAAACCTGAAGGTAGTCAACTTGAATTAAACTTTTGTATGAAATTAACAGTAAACGCACTCTACCTGCCTACTCTACCGCGTTAAATTTCCTTTGACTCGCGTACCGACGAATAAATATCGATACAATATGTGCTTTAAGACAAGTTTATTTGTACAAAAATTGTGACTAGATTTTACATGAAGCATTATCTCCTCTAATAAAAATTAACCTATAAATGAATCTCTGAAAACATACCTTTACATAAAGCGCTAAACCTAGAATATTTTCAGATTCTGCAAAAATAAAACGTTAACAGTACATATGCATTCTATATCATGTAATAAGTGTGTCACAAAGTATTATTGCTATTCATATAGAAATACATGGTATTTTTTATAATTAAGTATATCATGTTTTGCTTTGAATAAAAAAAAACAAAGATTTAAATAACTTTTAATAAAACTTTTGCTCCACCACAATGTCACACGTGGTGTATATTGTTGCATTGTAAAACTTACAATTTGTTTAAAAAATATCAGAAAACGTTCTCTGACTTAAAGTTCAAGTATTTTGTACAAAGTTTTTCACTACTCTAATTTCAATCGACATACCAATTCTATTAAAACTAAAGCACCGCAGACCTTATGTAGATATAAATTTTAGTGAATATCTAATTAGTCCGAGTACTATCCGCTATACTTAAATCTCAGAAAAAATTTTCACTTTTGACTATTTTATAAATGTATTTGTCTTATCTCATCATGACATCTCATTAGGACCATCGAGATTCCGGTACCGGTAAATTTAACTAAAACAGTTTAACACAGTAACAGTTATCTACTTAAATTACTAACGTATAGATGCTTCAATTCTGTCTTTGGCGTGTTTTCAAAAAGTGCCGCACGATTCTGTCCCTCTCCCTTTTTCACCCAATGCCCGTAGACACGAAACGCGCAGCCGTCAATCACCTAAAAAAAAATTATTATATTAAAAAATATTCTCAACGAACGCATTATTCATGCTTCATTAATTTCATCTCTACTCTCTCGATTTTAGAATAGCGTTAGAACGCTAAACCTGTACGGATCATCGCCAATGATAACCTAACATCAGAAAACCTACTAATATTTTTATTACAACCATTATGAATATTATGCTCACTTAATTAATTTATTTTAATACAAATGAACTTTCAAACATGTGGACTTTACCTTTCGCAAAATTTTTATTCTGTACGGGTCGGTACAAGCCACTTGTGTTGAAAGCGGTTCGGGCGTGATATGAAGCCGTTTAATACGAACAACAGCTCTCACACAAATAATTGCCAACTGGAATCTCTTTCTGGCATTGAACGATTTCGCCTTCAACTCCTGTGTACAACGAATGAAAAGTATATAATGATAAAAATTCACCAACCGTTCAGCAACAAGCTGTTTAAATTAACACTTATATTGTATCACTCGCTAATAAGAGAGGAAGTTTCTCCTTGTCATAATACGATACAGTTAAAAACGCTCAACGCAGTTACATCAACGCTATAGAAAAAGTATTAATGTCAGTCAACATATACTGTCTATCTCTAGCGTAAGTTTTACAATATTAGTATACAGTAAATTTTTTGCGTAAGAAAATGCGATAAATATATTTAAATGATAATATATACCAGTAAAAAGCACACACACAAGCTCAGTTAATTACATGTGTAAGTATGTAACTCAGTTTGTCATTTATCATTTTTCAAACATCACAAACATTGTTTCCAATTTTATTCAGGATATTAAGGCACCTAGTCCCTCGCTGTAATTGTCTGAAGACATCAGAAGAGAAATTATTTGAAAATGGCATGCAAGAATTCTCAGCGTGCCATTTTTCGTCTAATGCCATCAAACGAGAACAACCGCAGCGAGGAACTAGCTTTAATATGACGAATGCCGATAAAAACAAAGTAAAAGTTAATTGTTATATAAAAGTGACAATAATAATCAGTAAATTTTACACAAATAATAGTAAACGTTGCTACTGGGCAAAATGAAAAAGAAAAGTAAACTAATTACCAAAGCTAATTGAGATATCCTACTCAGACGTCGCGAGTTAGACGACAGAGAACGTTTTAGAGGAGCGATGTCTTGATCCCACAGCTGTAAGGTCAATAACTTTATAATTCTATCATAATCTATCAAACGGTAATTTTATTCACTTCCGAGATATTTTATTTGCCGAAAATTAAAATAATAAAAAAAACCAATAAATAATAAAATACATAGAAAATTAATGATTTCATATGCGAGTTAAACCTATTCCATAAACATAAACCTATCCCATAAACATAAACCCCATATTTGTACCATAGCATAATAAAACGCAAATATTTTGTATGTACACTTTCTTTGCTTTCTGCTGTGCGTGTTGTAATTTCACAATTAGATATAAAGATACTTGTAATACGTGTAGAATGTCCCGCCTGTGATATCCTATATCTAGATGGATATAATAATGATACATGTGGATAATGATGGGATACAAGTATTTTTTGAAATTGTGCAAAAACAAATAAAGTGAAATAAATTAATAGCGTGATATTGAAATATCGCAATGGAATATAATGTACATATAAAATATGTATTAGTTATGTAAACAGATTTTACAATTTTTTTCTCATTTTAAATTAAAAGTTGTAAATGATGACATTTTCATTAATACACTTAGTGTCAAGTACTTACAACAGTGTGAAAGAACGAATGTTCCAGCGCATCTTTTATAGAAATTCGTCTCTTGGGGTCAACAACCAACAACTTCCTTATTAAATCTTTTGGAGCCTCTAAAACATGTATTAGATATTAAGAGGATGCTAAAGTCGTCTGTTTTACCGACACATTCGAATATAGTTTTTGCGCTGCTGAATCTTTTTATTGGTTTCTACGCCTAAAATAATACCAGGATAAGTTGCGGACCGCATAGCAGAACATTTTTATACTTGAAACACTCGGGTCAGAAGTCTAATGAGAAAGATATTGGTATTTGAAATTTTCAATTTTTTAATT